GGGAAAATTTCTATTAAGAGCAAATGCAGTAGCTAAAAGGGTGATATTACTGAATTGGAAATACGCAGAAGGATTAAAGCTTGCTGAGTTGTAAAGAGGATTAAGTGAATCAACACACGTGGAGAAAATAATTTCAATAATTAACAGGTTTTTGTTCTTTGGGAATTTGTCTGGGAAACAGTCATAATTGTCATACTGTACATGGTAAGTTACTACTGTAATGTAGAATGGTGGACTATATCCAAGTGGTGAAGGGGTGATCTGTAATCATACTGTTATGCTAGACAGTAAAAAACACAGACATTTGAAACAAAATTAAATTTTCTCTGTTAAAATGGGTTTGTTACATTGTGCTTCCTTCTGTGGGACACCTTCAGAATGACAGTTTGCTCACTGGGTTATCACACAGCACTTTCTTCTTCAGGTTGGCCTTTATTTACCAATTAAAACACATGCAGGGCAGAGAATGCTGCTGAGGTCATGCAGAAGGGACCTGAAKTTCTTGGTTATCTTTCTTTTGCTAACCCTCCCTGCTGTTCCTTTATACATTGATCCTTTTGAAATAGGGCCTGGTAAAAGCAGTGGCTGGTGATCTGTTGGGAACCAGGTGGCTCTGGTCATTGCTGCTCTTCATCTGCAATCTAATATGGGCCTAAGCCATGAGCACTCTTCTCAAAGTCAGCCAACCTGGCCATCAAAAAGGCTTACAGGGGTGGAGTTTAAAAGCCAGGAAGCTGGACTAGGCAGATGGGCAAGTGCTCGTCTGTCTTCTCACAGTTTCAGGCTTTTTGTATTGTTAGTGCTTGGGACTTACTGTCAGGTTAAGGCTAACTGGTTAGGCTTGCTGTGCATTGAAGGTTACATCTCTGTTTTTATAGCCTTACAGCATTTCAAGGCATCTCTCTGCCACTGAATGTTTTCATGCATGGTCTACAGCAAGTGTCACTCGTTCATTAGCCCCTTTGAGTTCYTCAGTGAAGTCAAACAATTGAATCTTTCTAATTTACTGGGGCAAAGAGTACATCTTATTTCTTTTTGTACCATAACTCAGTTTTTGCTTTCAGTAAATAATAACAGTGGCAACTTGATCATTAATGGGCTGTTAGATGTGCCTTATAAGACCAAAGCTGTACAAATGATGTTTAGTACACATGCTTAATCTTCCTGTGTGGTACTAGTACTTTGCTAATCAACCTGTAATCTCTGGTGTTGCAGCACCTGTGAGCAAGACAGTCCCTTGCTGCACATTTTAAACAGTATGAGTTCCAATACCAGCTCTTCAGGTAAAGCATCATTTCTGATAGCAGTAAGTATAATAGAGTCCCCTGAAACAGTTGTGACCTGCCTGTTTTGTACAGCTTGGAGGATTAGCAGTCTTTATTTGAAATGATAGTGTTTAAAAAAATGTTCCTTGACAAAATAACTATTATTTACATGATTAGGAAAAACACTAATTGGGGAGTGGTGAGCAGCAGCCAAACGAAAGTTGTTTGACTCCAGCTCTGCAGTTAGTGCCAAATCGTGGATGGACAATATACAACTTTYAGACATTGCATACACTGGCTGCAGAAGAATGAAGAAAGGCTCTGMTGCAGCACTGCCCATTGCCTTCTTTTGGTTTGTAGAGAGGATGGTTTGCTGGTTGGGGTGTCCTTGGTAGTACAGGGCTTCTTCCTCTCTGGTGGAAGAAAGTGTGTGTGCCTTGAAATGCCTATGATAGTAGGCACTGATGTGGGCTTAGTTTTGTATTCTGTTTGCTTTAGGATCAGTTCCTCAGGTTTTGCTAGAAGTGCTGAAGGACAAAGGCAGAATGTTGTGCTAATGATCTTGCAGTATAATTTTTTTGCCCTTCCTCCATGTACCCCCACATAGTGCCTGAAATCATTGCCTGTTGTGAATAATTAATTGTATCATCTATTACTTCCCAGCAACAGTTACTTGGGCTATAGGGGGCTGTTTAGGGTGTTTACAGTAGGGARTTGGGTTTTTTGTTTCTTTTGATATTTGTGCTGGGTTTTGGTTTTAATGTTAGGAATATGTTTGGCATGCACAGCAGGCCTGTAAGGCACTGTGGCTCTGGGGACTTCTTTGCACAGTTTTGTCCTGGATAGTATCCCACAGAGATGAGTTTTACTGTCATAGCAGAAGGAAGGTGTGACCCTGATAAAAGAAYGTGACTGGTGATTGCAGTTCCCAAAATGTGAAGAGGATGTTCTTGAGCAATTCTGTTATGTTGGAGAGCATCAGGAATGGTCAACAGATGGCCTTGTCCTGTGGACCCAATGCCTGCTGTATGTCAGCYTTGAATAATGGTAACTGAAACTCAAATCACTAGAGTTATAAATATAAACCACACTACTGAAAACGGAGGAAAAAAGGTGAATCAAATTCTGGTTGGTTCCAGCATARCAGGAGCCCATGGTGAGTGCCTGAAAGTTAAAAGAAACTATACAGAAGATGGCTGTGTCACTTTGGATAATGAAGCCCTGTTGAAGATTCCTTCAGTTTTTGCCCAGGATTTATGCTCCAAAAAGGGATGAGGCTTCAAATGTTCATGTCTTTGCTCTGGTGGTTTGGTGTGTGGGGCTTTGGATCCCCTTCTGACATGTGCAGCCCTTTTTTCAATTTTGAGCACTGTGGCTAGATGGGCTTCTTGGGATGACACAGATGCAATTTATGAATAATTTATGGCATTTCAAAAATTCTGATTTTGCTGTCTGGGGAAATGGACTAACTATAGTTTGCTCCATTTAAAAGCAGAAAGATGTTTTTATGGTAAAACCCCAAACTGTATTTGCATATTCCTGTGCTCTGTTATCTCACATCTCTTGCTCCCTGTCAATAAAGAAGATTTTTCAGTGGTTTGCTCAGTAGGAAAGTGATTCTACATTATTTCCTACAGAGGTTTCTGTWGAAGTGGGCTGGCTTGTAAAGAAGCAGCAACTTCTTTACATTCAGTAACCATACCGTTTTCTCTATCAGCATGGAACATTTGACTCATGTGCCCTAGAAAATAACTCCTCACTCCCACTATGTGCTCATATAGTGAGCTGAGATCTAAACCTGACCTGCAGTCTGGGATGCAAACTGATGATCAAAATCCCTGGATGTGGGAGGTCGGTGTTCCAGCATCCTTATTCTCTGCGGTGAGAATCCACTATTTAAGGAGTAGTGTTGCGAATTCAAAACAGGTTAATGCTTTCCAAGGTCTGTGAAGTTACAGAAACACTGTACAAAAGAGTCTGTCTGCCTTAAATAAAAGCTTATTATAGAGCTCAATCTTGTTTCTATTAAARTCAATAAGGGGAATCATACTTCTAAATTTCACCCAATCCAAGTTGGGGACCTTTATAAGGGGGCAAAAAAACTCTGTGTGAAAAATTGAGATGCTTGGTTTCCAGCAAAAGCTCTAATACCATTCTTGCAGTAATGTGATGCAACACATCACAACTCTTCAGGGAACCTATTTTGTAAATAATACAAAAATAGTGGTTCTGTCTACAGTTTTTTCTCCCACAYAGCACCTTGGTCTGTACTGAGCACCGGACCTTATGAAGCAGAAGGTGAACCTTCCACAGGACTTTACACTCACCATMGCTGAGGGACTGGGTTTTCATTACAGTTAACAGCAGAGAGGGTAATTAATAGATTAAGCCAGATCTGGGGCTGTGAATGCGTAGCAGAGTTTTGTKTGGTTTAATTTTCTTAATTTGATACTCTCAGAATGTGCACAATCCAGAGGTGAATTGTTGTAAAGCTTGCAGATAGGCTCACCTCCTCCTGTAATTACTGAGAAGTCTTCTGAACTGTCAGCATTCATAAAGTGTTTTTTTTGTATGTACAGAGGCACCCACCAGGCACAGACCYCTTGAGAATTTTGGCTCCCTTTATCAGTAACTTTTTGTTTCATGATCCTTGCTCTGAGTTTCTTGTTTGTTATTCCCTAGTTTTGCTGGAAACCGTGTTGCTGAACTCACCTAGTACAGAAGTGTCTCCTAATAGCTGCTTTTCAAGGGTAGATTGTGATGAGGGGGCTGGGATTTCAGATTACTGTACAAACCTACCTCTGAAACCCATTTCTGATGTTACCTCACTTCCATGTAGCAGCACCCTAACTGCACCAGGCTGCAGTGAGCTCCCCTCATCCAGACTGCCCTGACTTGTGAGTAATTTTCTTGTTCTCCTTAGCTACCCAGGGATTTACTCAGTGCTGAGGGGCATATATTGAACATACCCTAGAGAGTTGTTTGCCATATGGCTACTCCACTARTTTTCATGATGGCTTTCTGTTAGATCTCTGCATGTTGCTGTGGAAAACCTCRGTGCCCTCTGAGTTTTAATTCAGGGATCATAGACTTAACGTCACTTTTTCCATAAAGGAGAGAGCAGCACATGATTCCTCACTGCATTTTGCCTTTCTTTTGCAGTGTGTGAAGACAGGGATGTTTATGAGTTTATTGTTATGTCAAATTACTTGGTTAGTTCTGCGTAACATTGTTCATGGGTATTTCACAATGTTTTTGGACATKCTTAGAGACAGAAATAAATATCAGGGTATGATTAATAAAGTGCTTGTTACCAAGTTCCTTTCTATAGAAATWAATGAAGTATTTCTTGGGAATGAATTCTGAATGTGTTAATTTGCTGATCATCTTCACCAGTAACCAGAGATTAACAGAGAAGTGTCAAGTGCAGTGATCCCAAGCCAGCGAGAAAAGATGGAGAGTTCAGCCAGTGATGTTTTGCTCAGCTCTGTTCCCGTTGTTGTGAAGGGGCTGTCTAAAGGCATTGACTTTCTTTGACTGTTTAGTAGCCCTGGTAAATCCAGAGGGATTGAGTACTCATGTCCCAAGGTTCCTCTGAGTATACATGCACAGCAATATTCCTGCCCTAGGTGCCTCTTAGGGTGTTGGGTGTTACCTTCAGAAGATTGTTTCCCTCCCACACAGTCTCAGCTTTACCAAGGTTGGATCTCCTTCAAAGAGAGCAGCCTTCACAGTCCTAACAGGCTTTCATCCATATGGCTTCTCGCTTTACCCCCACCCCCCTCCTTCTGCTTTAGCTTTCTCTTGTTCACCTCTCTGCTCTGCAGCTTGCTTGGATGCTTTGCTGCCTTGGGAGCTCAACACCAAGGATTCTTTCAAGCTTTCTGTCCTAGCGTGTAGCTGAATACATTCAGAGACTCCCAAACGTGACTGGCTGTGAGTGTGTTTCATGGGATGGGCTGAGGGCTGTACCTAAGACACTTTCAACTCATATTTGTTCCTATCCCCACTGGYCAAGGAAACCATACATCCTTTTCCTGGTAAGTAAGAAAAAAGCACAAAGACTCACCCCTGTGGTTTCCTTCCTACCATTAAACAGATCCATCTCTATACATCTAATATAATTTTCTTTTGCAGCTGGTCAACTCTCTTGATTGTGCTCTTTGCTGATCTGGTGGTTATTTTTGTTACCTCTGTGGAGAGCTGCTCTCAGCACACCCAGAGCCARTGCTCCTGACAGGCAGCACAATCCTGGAGTGCCTTGGCAGGCTGCCTGCGTCTGTCCTGCAGGCCCTGGGGGGACTCTCACACGTTTTGCCGCTTACTTTCCTCTTTCCTAGAGATCTAACGCAATTTTGCAAGTAGTCACTTGGAGCCATATTTCCATTTGYCCTGGAATATTTTTTATTTATTTTTAGTAAACGTTTGTCAGTATTTCTAACATTGCGCCTCCAGCAACGTGGCCTGGACTGAAGCCACACAGCAGTCTGACAACCTGTTAGGCGAGTCTCCTATCAATTAGGCTGCAGCTGTCATTGGATCTATTCTCAGCCTCCTTGGTACGTGTTTGCAAATAACAGGGGCTGCTGTTTTGCAGATCTTGATTTTTTTTTTTTTCTCCACAGCCAGTCAAGAACATTTTGTCCCTAGAATTCCTCCTGTCTCCTTTATTTTTRCTTTCTAATCATCTTCACTTTATTCTCCCAAGAATATATGCTTATCGAGGATATTGTTTTAAGTAAAGTGTCTACACTATCTTTTATTTAACATACAAGAAAATGAGAATGTCCCCCAAAGCTACAAAAAAAGATTATCTCACTCAAGGCTATACCTTGATCCTTTAAATGTTTTCAGACTTTCTCCAAAGCATCCAGACTGCTTCTCACCTGTGGGGGGCTACCATTTTGAAAGCCCATATTGCATGGAAGCTCTCCATGGGGGCTGGCTTATTTCTGCTGATGTTTGAACTTTGAGGTGATAGTGTGCTTTATTATCAGGTTTGCCACAGCTGGAAATAGAGTCCCCAACAATGTACAATCTGTTAGAATTTCCTCTCATGCCTTCTACCATTTACAGTATTCTTTTCTCCTCTTCTCTAAAAAATAATGAAGATGGCTCTATAACTTTTTTCCAGATGTTGCACACTGCATGGTGTACTTGATGCTAATTTTTCATCCAGCAATCTATGGAGCACAGCCCAATTTCTATTAGAGTAGCCATGTTTAGGTGTATCTTTTTTTTTGTTTTGCTTCCATGTGAAATCAGAATTGGGTCATTCAAGCAAGGCAGGCACACTCAGGGCCTTTCATCCTYAGGCTGACTGGAAGACACATTTTGATATTATGCTGTCACTTCTCTCATAAGCCCAGGTCCATCTTTGCACAAACCTGGTGCTAACTGTTCCTCCTTCCTCTCAATCCATAGGTCCTAACAACAGGTCTCCAGCTAGCTTGCAGCTCTGGAGGCAGAACCAGCCCATCACATGCTTGAAACAGTTAAGTTTTAATCAGCTTATGCTGAATTGGCCAAAGCCGGTGTGCTTGCCTGGTGGGAGGCAAAGGAAGGACTTTTTTGTCTATCCCCACAAAATAGGACAATACTGCAAGAACCTTCACCCAATGTCACTTGGTGTTTGCTCTGCAAGAATATCCATGAGGACCCCGCTTTGTGCTGGAGCTGAGCTGGCATTCAGAGCCATTTTGAAGCTCTTGGGTATAAAATTATTCCAGAGTAGCTGAGTGGCCTGTGAAACTTGTAGGYGCTGTAAGTGTTCATACAGCACTGCCTGGCAATCSTTTATTTTCTGCAATATGAGGAACYCATGACAGGAAGGTTTCACCAGGATCCCAGCAGGTTTGGTATTGGTATAKCAACACATGGGGCAGCTGGCTCTTTGAAGGGAGCCTGCAGAGCTCTGAGCAGCCATTCAGAACACGAGGAAGAGGGTCTTCTGTGGGTAAAATTTGGGAAACCAGAACACATAAAGGCCTAGGCAGGGCAGTTCTGGATTGTTTGGTAGTGCAATGGCACCTCAGAAAGACCTGAGTGCTTTTGTGATCCTCTTCCTAGGAAAGGTGGCCTTAAATCCCTTAGGAAGCTTCTATTTAGGCTAGGATCTAGGCTCCCAATTCAGTTGTTTCACGAAATACATTGCTGAGCAATGCAGACCTTTGGGCAATCTCTGGYTGAGACATTTAACGGTTTCTCAAGTACTTATTTAATGAAAAATGCATTTCACATGTATATAACATCCCACATATTTCTTGCTCAGCTACTGAGCTTTCAACTCTTTGAAAGTGTAAGCATAGTTAGAACAAGCTGCCATTCTGCAGACAAASCTTAGTTGGCAAGAAGATGTAGTTTATGCAGTATTTATGTTCTCCTGGTAAACAAAGACAAGTAAAATGCTTTACTTGTTAACATCAATTCAAAGGGAAAGCGAATGATGGCACTTGCTGTAATCATGTTCAGTGTTCTGATGGTGTTTGTGTTTTTCACCTTTTTTCTAAGCTCTTGCTTATAATTTGCTTCTTCTGTTTTAATACTGTGTGACTGCTTCTGAGAATGCAGTGTATGACTTTGTTTCCAGACTATATTTAAGGAGAAGGGTTCTCTCTGGATTTTACTGTGATAATATTAAGTGCAGCAGGAACATTGGTTAAATAAGCAGGAGAGGCCAGAGAGCTGACTAGTTTGGTGTTCATTTCGTTGTCAGCTGCCACTGGAATAGTGTTCAGATTAATGTGATYATTCTTTGCACTGGCTGCAAGTTCATAGACCAACTGTGCACTTGTATCAAAGTCATTAGAGTGATTTTAGTCCAGGTTTCCTACCAGAATTATTTATATAAAATGYAGTTGAAATTCTATACTGGCCATTTACACGTGAGGATTTCTATTTCAGGAGGCTTTAGAAATAGCCAGGATCTTCAACTGCACCCTTTCCAAAAGATACAAGATCCTTTTAACATTTAATGATGACTGAGAAGGTGCTTAAAAATAACTTGGAAGCACAAAGCACATTAGTGTGGTCCCCACCAGTTATAGGACCATACTAACAGTTAAACTTTGTATTCTGTTTRCTTTTCTTGTCCTTTCTTGCTTCGTGACCTGAGGTGAATTGCCTAGTTTCCCTTGACAAATGAGCTTAATACTTACCTATTGTCTATATTTACGTTATTACATTTAGGAGGTGATAGGATCTGAATTCATCTTCTCTGAGGAAAGAACTGTAAAACTCTGGTTGTCAGGTAGTATAAAATATATCCCTCTACTTGACTGCACATGGTACTATCGGCTGTATAATTTGCTGGGTATCAAGTCCATTTCACATGCACAAGGTCCCTGGTTAATGATGGTATAAGTTCTTTTGGGAGGGATTATGCTTACATACATATTTTTAAAATATTCAACATAATAGCAAGCTAATCTTGACTGTATCGTTTATGCCTTGCTAAAATTTATACAATACAGGTAATCAATTAGTCCAATTCTCCTGCATGCTGCTAAATGGAACATGAACAGCTCATAATGGGCAGCAGTAAATAGACATTTGTATGTACACAGGTATCCTGTGCAGTGAAAGGGGCATGCAGGAGACAAGGTACTGAACAAAACAGCCCTGCATAAAACCAGGCTTTCATTTAAAGGAAGAAAAATGTTGCTGAAAGCTGCAAGATTATTAGCATTACTATGCATGAGCAGTAGTCAAAAAAGGTGTTACAAGAGGGAGAGAGACATTATTCAAGTGTCGAAGAAGATGGACCATCATCAGCAGTGGAGAGAGAAAAGGCTTCCAAAGGAATAGCATAGCATTTCAAACATTAAATTATAAGGGGACTGAGGCTTTAAAAGGTATGTTGGAGTTTCTGCATTATTTATAATTTGAGATTGCCTTTTYCCCTAGATGCTTAAGTTTTGTTCCATTCATGCAGAACAGAAAAGTCCTTCCCATACTTTTCATACTTTTGGACACTGAACCAGCTCTAAGTTTTAGGACATAACTTTAAGAAGACACTGATTACAGTGCTGCACTGATTACAGTGCTGCACTGGGTCAAAGATGCTTCTGAGAAAGTCTGGGAAATGAGCAATATTTGGCTGCCATTACTGTGGAGCTTGGGAATGGTGGGTTTGCAATTCCGTGTTATTTTGTATTTTTATTGCACCCGTACCTACGAGCTCCAGGCACTRACAGGATTTCATGGTGCTGGATGCTGGCCTTTCCCCAACACATTTTAAGGTCTTKGGGACACCTTTTTTGAACCTAGTGCACAGCTGCACTGACAGTGCAATCACTCACAGTGCAGAAGCTTACACTAGGAAAAAAACCTGGAAAAATATGCCTTATATCAGTTGCCTGMGCAGAAGAAGCTGTATTGGCAAAAATAAAGGTTTTTTCCCCCCCTTTTATTCATATAATAGCTGTGTCTACATTAGGGCTTTTGCTGGCATAGCTGAAAAAAAATCACACTGCTAGCTGACAGGGATATGCTGACAATTTTTTTAAATAGATGATGGATCAGTGTGTGTTTCTGTATGTGGGGAAGGGGGAGGGGTGAACCTGATTTAAAATAGAAGTTTCTAAAATTGGTTTGCACAGATACCCTTTAAATGGCAAGTACTACTACCCTTGCCAATAACTTCCCGCTTCCTGGCCCTCCTGTCCTTCTCATCCAGGCTCAGCCTCCAGCTGAGTGTATTCCCCTTCCCTTCCACCCTGTGTGCTCCACACCCTGCTGGGCCCATCTGGGGACTCTTGCCTGCCATCCTTGGTTCTCTTGCCTGGTTTCTGCCTGGGCATCCTTCCAGCTCCGTGCCTCTGCCTCCACCTGCACTGGGGCTCCAGTCCAACACCTCTGCCACCAAGARCTGCCCTTGCTCTCAAAATGGGAGTTTCTTGCCTTCCTCCAAAGGCYGTGGTAGGTTTGAAGGCTCAGGCTTTGCATACAAACAGAAGTGCTCCATTCCACAGTGCCTAATTTCCTTCAGCCAAATTGTATATTAACTGTATATATAACTATATAAAGAGAGAGTAGAGAGATTTCCATTTCTGACATGGCAGGAAGGCAAAAAATTTCCAGAATATCTGGAGAATACTTGGAGGTAGAGAAGGAGCTGTGTTAAGATTCCAGTACTAGAAGCATGAATATTGGTTCTGCTGCTGCTTCTCCTGACCAGACAATTTTATGTTTACCTTGTTCCATCACTCAGGTTGGGTGGTTGGTTTGTCAGAAGGACATAGTATTTTATGTACTAGCTCCTGGGAATTGGAAGGAATTGATCCCAGAACAACTGTGTTCTTCCAGTGTCATCTTTGGACAAATGTTACTGCTTTGGTGCCTCAGATTCTCCATGTATAAAATGAGACTTCACARTCACGGGGGTATAAACCTTAATTTGATCCAATTAGGGTGAGGTCCTGTGGTGGTTGAGTCTGCAAGTGCAAGGAGTAGGGATTAGCTGTTTTTCAGATGCTTAACACTCCTTTGGAAGCACAATTGTGTGAAAATAAGTTGYGAAATAACCTTCAGATGGTGTGAGAGAGTGAGGGGTCAGAGGCAAGCAGGCTCCTGAGCAGAAAGCAGCCTGGGCAARCAGGTCCTTGAACCACTCACATGTGTCAGTGTGCATAGCCAGCACCCCAGAGTCCTTACTGATGGCTATTGCAGCTAATTCATAGGTTATGCACCTGGAAATAAGGCATATGAAATATTTTTTTTTAGACGAGCAGTGAGATGACTTATTTTAATTTTTTTCTGCATATGAAAGTTTAAGCATTTAAATAGCTTTTAACTAAGTAACCCAAGCCCATTGGTATCAATTATTTACTCAGAGTTTAAACTGACATTTCTTAAGTATGTTAATTGATACTGCACTAACTTGCTATAGGTATCTTCTTAAGTGCCAATTATCTGCCTCAACATTCCCYACAATTTAAGTTTGTTAGTAAGAAGCTAATTATACTAGTTTATTGCTGATGGAATTACATGAAGAGCAGATTTCACTCTTACATACTTATTAGACCTCAATAAGTGATCCTTAGCAGTCTGTTGCTATTCAATTAACAAGTAATAACTTACTTAATGAATCTAATTGAAATGCTTATTTCAGTCAGGCATACACCTCATACTAAGTGCTTTACTTTGAGCACTTTCCTGAGTGCTAGTTGTGTTTACTTAACAAGAACAAAATGGGGCCACTGAAGAGAACTCAGACTGTGATGGGAACTGAACCAGTGTTGGTAAATTCCTGCCAAACATGGCCAGAAGTATTTGCCAGGTGATTTCTGTTTTTCTGAAATATCACAGGAATAATCCAAGACTTTTGTGTCTCTGAGGATTTAAATCCATGGAGAGGATTCTGCAGCATGAAATTCTCTGACCATTCCTCCTGCAATGGATGTAAAGACACTAGCTGCTCTTCTGGGAGCTCCTAGCTCAGCTCTGGTGCTCTGCATGGATGCTGTCATTGAGTTCTTGTTACAGTTCAACTCTCTTCAAAACTCACTCCCTTTCCTTGGGAGCCTGCATGTTTGGCTTGAGATTGATAGGAGTGCAGTGGTGACTAGATTTAATGATCTAAAGCTATTATTATAATTACAGCCCAAAGAGGATATAACTGAAGGGTTTTATACTCTTCAATGTCCTTCAGTGGGACTAAATCATGGTGAATTTAATCTTTGCTTACAAGCATGACCTGCACTGATTTGTCTTGAGCGACCATTCCTGGGCTGAGCAAAATCCATTTCCTATATAGAGACAGGTTCCTAACAAAAGTGCCAGGGGTGTCTGTGCAGGGTGTCTGGGGCTGCTCACATACCTGGTGAGCTGTCAGGTGGGAGTCTCCTTCATGGGAAGGAGAGAATTCTTAACTGGGATTTTACAGTTAAGAAAAGACAACCTGCTGTGCTCATTTATGGGATGGGAAGACCCAACAATGGTTGGCTTCTGAAGCTATTTTTTGCTTTAGGATTAAAAGTGTGCTTTCTTGTATAATGAGGATTTAACAGACAAGACTTGTGTTTGTGGATAAATGCCAAGAAATCTTCTCAAGCAATGCCAACAAATTATGCCATTTGGCAATATTAGTGTATGGGCAGTAACCTTTTCTCAAGAATTTTTAGCAGATAGATTTAATGTCAAAAAAACCCATAAAAGCTGTAATATCTTCTCCAGTGTATCAGGTTTGTTACCAACCTTTTAATGTATGCCTTCTACTCATTGAATTGAAAGACCTTATTGATCTCTTTGCAGCTGAACTGATTATTGGGGTAAGAGAGAGACTTCCTGAAAGAAGCCAAGAGAAATTATTCATTTAACATACTCTCATTTTAGTAAACTTCTATTTAACCTCCAGGGTTAATTTAAAAAAAAATTGCTGGTTGGCTGGCATAAATTTATTAAATCAGACAGAAACTGAGTTCAGGCTAGTACATTTAATGTCAATGTTTGTAATAATCTTAGGGGAAAAAGAATTCACATGGACTTATTAGTATTCCAGAACTGCTTTATTTTAAAACAGCCATAGCAGCAGAACAACCCAGTGAGGAAAACAGCCCCCAAAATGGAAGCAGATTCTGTAACCTTGGATAGTTCAGAAATTTTTAAATAAGGTAKCAGGGATTTTGTAAGTTTGTGGTTATCGGTTGAAATCCTGTCATCATCAAGAAGCATTAGSTAGCTGGTGTTTTAGGATTGGGATTAGGGGATTTGCTGTGTTGTCCAGTGATGCCATGGCTCTTCCCCATGTCTACAGAGTGAATATTGCACATCAGAGCTGGCATCTTCGTTAATGTCTGAACAGAGAGCAAGGATTAAATAGRCCTAACAGCTGAGGGGATTTTCAAAGGCATGAGTGGTATTTGGACATGTATCCTCTGTTGGTTTTCCAGACTTGCTTTCAGACTCTGGTTTGGTTTGGGTTGCCCCACTACTCTCCCTGACCCTATTATGGACAAGCTCCTTATGGGTGTTTGATGGAAATTTGGGGAAATTTTCAGAGATGCAAATGTCGATACTGAGGAGATGGAGGATCCTGTGCTTGATATGAAGGAGTTAATAGGGAACCATCCTGGAGAAGGATCTGCCTTGACATTCATGCTGTGACAAGCTTGGAGGTGAGACTGGGTGGCATAACAAAGGTGCAATCTGTCATTTTGAGGCTGGGCTAGCCCCTCTGATCCTGACTGACGTTGAATCAGAGGGGAGTGGGGCTGGAATATCCCATGAAGCAGCAGTTTGGGAGAGAAGCCTTTGTTGGAAGGACCTTGTGAAAAAACAAATGAGTACTAAAATGCTAAAGTCCAGCTTTGTGACAGGTTAGTTACTGTTCTGTGCAGGACAAGTTAAACTATGTTTCAGAGAACACAAGGAAGAGTATAAAAGGTCCAGTACTGGATTTAGATAGAAACTGCTGACATTGTTAGCTGGATGGCATTTGTGCAAGATTTTACTAGAAGCCAATATCATAAAACTGTCCATTCTGTTAACTAGTTTCAGARCAAACATTTTCTCCTCCCTCCAGCCATCAGACTGAGATGACAGGTTTCTAAACGGTTTTCATCTGAAATGTCACAAAAAGTACATTTTTGGCAACTGATCTTGCTTTGTGTCCGATGTGGTATTTTGTCCCTCCTGGTCTAGAATGCCTTTTGTAGTTGGAGCCTTTTGAGGTGCATCCCCTCCCTCAGAATATGAGGAGCAATTCTATCCGGAATTTTSTTCCTGTGGAAGAGCAAATCCCGTCTTTTCCAAGTACTGTAGTTTAACTGAAGCAGCAGGAAGTAGCAAGGAATGCTTGTAACATGGAACTTCTCATGTATAGTAAAATGTCATTTTCAAGTACTTTCTGAACTCTCRTCCCAGTAATGAAGCAGCTCTGAAACATCACATGACTTTCTCAGTGTGTTGCACTCTGTATAACCTTGCCTTTGATCGTGATGTCATTTCAGATGAAAGGCTCGCGTGGAGAACRGTACGTTGTGCATTAGGATCGGCAGATATCCTCTGGGATCTGAACAGAGGAGGACTGTTTGAGATGCTCGTCAAAGAGAAGTAAGTGCTGCAATAAAAAGARTAGTCAGACATCTAAACTCCCCTGAGTCTGGGTAGAAGGAAGACTTCACCTTTCTGCGAGAAGAGCTGCTWAATCTGGAAGTTCTCCTAGAAGGGTTGTAAAATGAATAATCATTTTTACTGTCATTCAGTCCAGGGTCCTAACTCAGATCAGTGATTTCCTGAATGTTTGAGTAGCTCCAGGTGGCCCTGCTTAAGCAGGGGTCTTGAAGCAGATGATCTGGAGAGGTCCCTTCCCACCCCAGTCTTTCTGAGATTTTGTGATTTTGTTATCTAGATACCCCTGACTTGAGTGTTACCAAGAGAAGTGAAGCAAACACAAGACACCTCCTTCTGCTTCTGTTAGACCAGGAGCATCCCCCAGCAGTCTCARTGAGCTCTGTGGGTACCTTCACATGGCTTTTCACTTCTGCCTGGGTGGGTGGTCAGCATTTGGCACTCTAGCTGAGTCCAATACATGATGGGCCTTTTTAGTGAACCTAAAAATAGACTTTCAGTCACATACACTGCGGTCCAGGGATGGCAAGGGGACTCCAAACACAAAATGTCAGCTGGCCTCAGGCAGCACCTGCTGGAAAACTCTCCCACAACCAGACAAAGCAGGTAATTCCTGCAGAGGCTTTTTTCTTACCCTGAAGCCTTGATCCCCTTATCATGCACTTGTGGCTAGAGATGATGTTGGGAACTGCATGCTCTTACAGTAATCGCTTTCCTGCGGATCCCATTTTGCTTTGGCTTTGCTCACACCTCCTTAGCATTTGCTTTCTGGGAACGTCTGAGTGATTGAGGGTGAAGGTCTGGCCCCATGCAGCTCTGCCATCTCCCTCGATGGAGTCAGTATTTCACCCGTGCTAGCAGTGACAGAGACTGAATGTTSGAGCTGCATGCACAAGCTCTCACAGAAATCAATTCTCACACGCAGCATTAATATTGGAAGTGCTTCTCTCTCACTTAATTGTTGGCCAGGCACAATAACCTGTGACTAATGGCCGTTCATAGTTATACAGCATGGCCTGATCATGAAAATTTGCCATTAGTCTCTAACAAAAAAAACGAAAAACATCAGGCTGTTAATTGACCAACATGTATTCCTGAGGAAATCAGAGTAATCACATGGATATTCACTGCACAGAAAAGGAGTGCAGCTAGCTTGTGTGTTGTTTTTATGATTCATCTGCTCTGATCTGCTTTTGATTAYTTTTTTCCTCATGTGAGGCCAGTACTGTAAATCAAAGATTTGAGAAACAACCCTGTGTTTGAAGTGACCCGAATTAAAGCCAATTGCCACCTTTCTTCTTTTACTAGGCATTCGTGCACTTCTGTGGAGGAACAGACATGCGTTAAAGGCTGTCAATACTGCTGCAGAAACAAACCAGTGAGCTCATGGACTGCCTCTGCCAATGGTTAAGGTCAGCTACTGGAAAAAGTTACAAAACAGCTATTACAGCCAGGTATGATCCTGCAGAAGAGCCCTCATTGAGAACTGGTATACTTTGCTCATTTTTATGCAGTTCAGTGAGACTCTGCCCTGGAAAACAGTTTCTGATTCTCAAAGCAAGGACAGCAAGATGTGTACAGGTTGGTTAGGGGGTTGGGATTTATTTTCTTGGTCATTCWAGTTTTTCTGTCATAAAATTCCTTTTATGTTGGCAAATGGGGATCACTCCAGAAAATGGTCAGGACAGCTTGTCTRTGTGGTAGATTTTTTTCTCCTCCTTCCCTACACTTAAAGCATTACAGGGGCTTGAGCAACACTCTTCTGGGCTGACGTGAAGATCAGACACACCAGACTGGCAGGGAGGATGCAGTGCCACCATTCCAACYCATGGAATTCCCAACCCTTAATTAAACATGGGGACTCTCTGGCACCTCAGCTCTGGTCAGCAGCCTTCCCTGTAGGACACAAACTGGGATCTAGTCGCAATTTTAATAAGAAGAGCTCAAAAGAGTTATTAGTGACTGTAGGAGAAAAGCAAGTGAGGAAACCATAAATCAGGCCATTGCATGAATTTAGAAYGCACTAATAAAATCAGAGCTTCCAATAAATTTCATTTCAGGCAGAGTAGAAACAGTTTCTCAGTTGAGAGTTCAGGACAGATTATAATTTCAGATGTGTCTCAGCCCAATGCAATGTGCCTACAAAAATGTTTTTAACCAGGCAGCAGTGACTGGACCAGAGTCAGGCCCTCACACCAGTTGAACTTCAATAGGGTTGAATAAAAAGGGTCTCTACTTCTCTGAGCAAAGTTGAATCTAATTAAATATTTAATGTAGGTTTTTTCCCTCCCAAATCCTTTGGTTTCTTGCTCTTTCATAGTGTGATATGATGACATTTGAACAACAAATGCAGTCTTGGTACGTTGGTCTCCTGGTACTGCTTTTTATATGAAAAAACTTGCACATMCCAGCTGAAGTCCAGATGCTGCATTTATGAGGTATTTTGTCATGATCAATTTTTTAAAAATATTTTTCCATGCCATGAAATTAATGGGCACCTGGGGAAATACCAACAACCTCCTCCCTACTCCTGCAAATACTAACCTTTCCCAGATGGAAAGGTATTTCTCTTTCCCTTTATTTACCTGCAAGATGTCCTTGCTAGTGCTCAGAATCACAGAGAGAGAGGAAGCATTAAGAAGAARATGCTACAGACTAACTGCATTAAACCCACTACATTCTGAGGAGTCATTTACTGCATAAATCCTGCATAATCTTTCCAGGGTCACAGAGTGAGTCATTAGCAAGACAGCACTAAGACAGAGGCATCCTGATTTTTCTAACTACTCTGATTACTTTAAGACCCCAATTTAAGAGGCCATAGGTTTGTGCTGGCAGTGCAGTCGTGGAGATAACTACTCACGGCTTTACAAATTGGTTTCCTTGCAATCATCTCACTAGCACGGGCCTGCAGCCCTTCGGTGTTTCATCTGCATTCTATTCCAAACTATTTTTTTCCACAAAACCCAGAGCAAGCCAGAGCTGAGCAGGAGCTTCTCCTCTGCCCTCCTGTGCCCACAGCTGCCCTGCCCCACATCCCACAGTGCTGGGACCTCCCCTGCCTGCATCAAGCGCCCTTCGTGTGCTCTTTTAGCAGATGTGGCTTAGGATTGCTCTTCAAAAGAGACCTTAGGATGCTGAAARTCAGGATGATTGACCCAGGAAAGCACTGGAGGAAAAAAACTGTGTAAATTAGTTTTCTTGCAACCTTCTCYCTATTGCTTCAGTTCCCTTCCAGAACTGGGCTTCTGTAAGTGGCTGCTTTGGCATCATCATTGGAAACAAGTCCTTTCTGTTAGTAAAAAAGGAGAGTTTTGTTGTACTTATTTTTTTTAACAAATGGCTAATATTTCTTTTCATGTGCTTCTGTGGTGTTTGCACACACCATATAGCCTGGCAGAGCATGTTGGGAGAGATGATGGTCTGGCTACACCCATCCAGCCACCAAGTCACTCTGGTAAAGGGAAGGCTGGTTCAATACAGACCAAACCATGTAACTCTGCAAAATGGTCACTTGACACATTTTAGATAAAATACAGATATTTTCTGAACAAAAAACATTGCAGGATTGGTGCTGCAWTGCACATTTATACATCACTAAAATAGCTATTTGTAATATTCTCATGATGACCACTAATGCCTGGCCAAAGATGACTCATGTAGGTACAGCCCCTCCACAGAGAGAAGGCCTTCAGCCACACTCGCTGACACTTTGGTGTCAAAGGCATAGTTAAACTGGAAAAACAGCACATTATGAGAGCTGTAAGTTTGATACTTCATTTAATGTATAAAGACATAAAAAAAACCCCATACCAATAGAAAATAAAAATTTTCTTTGGCACTAGAAAAATATATATTGTGCCATTATAGGTTTGGGACTTCTTTTTTAACCACTGTATTTCTTTTTCCTTTAGAATTTTTTTTGTGAGATACAACTAGGTGCCATTGTAGTGTTATAACATGCACAGTAAWTTCAAATGATTAATACCTTGACAGCATTATCTTGTAAAGAATCATTTTTATCCAGTATCTAAAATCAGCTTTTAATTAAAAGAATATATTAGTTTTCTGATACTAAATTACTTTATTTTAAATTGTGTGGGATGTTGGCACATACTAAATATACAGCATGTATTTTTCCATTGGGCTTTAGTTGTCTGCCTGACATGTGAGTTTCAATTATTAGGCATTAATAAGTATTTAGGAATGTCCTGCTATGTGAGTCTGCAATTAATTTTACCACAAATTAGGTCTATCTTTTGTAATCCACATTATAGAAGGAACACACTACCTCCTTTCAAAACTGTACTGTATTTGCACAAAATTGGTATTTGTTAACATGAATAAGAAAGGTTTGCAGGAAGCAGAAGCCAGCTGAAAGCTGGATGGAGTTCAGGGGATCAAACTCAGCGCATGTTGGTGGTGKTGTAGGGGCTCTGTACCGAGCCCTGCCGCTCCTCGCTGGTCACTCTGCTGTTTGTRTTTACTCCAGCAGGCACAAAGTCACCGACAGACCCTGACTCTTCCTGAGAACACCCAGGTCAGCGTGGCTGAGCAGGAAACAGGACCCCGGTGTGTGTCACCCCCTTCCCACCCCCATCTCCTCAAGGCCAGGGGGCGGCTGAYGGCTCCGGGCCCTCCTCACAGAGCTGCTGAAGGCAAGCTGAGATTTTCCCCTACTGTAATCCCTCAACACTGCTGCACTAATAATGAAATTACACACTTGGTACATGGGAATATTTTATTTTGACTTTACATGCGGTGTTAAAAACCCAAAGAACGTATTATTTACACATCCACAATACAAGTTTACAAGATCTCTATACATGTTAAAGTACTCTATAGTAATAGAGCAGCTTCATTTAAGGGTTACTTTTTTATGCCGTACCATTAAAAAAGATACAATCTGCGTTTACCTTTGCACAAATGGATAAAGCATCTTTTATTATTAAATTAACAGAATAAGGACTAGGTTGAATGTTAGAAATTTTCAACATAAATACTCAGAGAACTCACATTACCATCTACAAGGCAGCACAATGTTACAGGAGGTTATCGGGGTTCACATACATTTATCTTCCGGGTCACACAAGTCTGTATTAATATTTGTGAAGTGAATTCGGATCAGTTTGTGTCTTTTGACAACTGAGTACATTTTAATAGTTATTAATCTGTAGTGTTTTAGTTGCAAGACAGAAGTGTTTAGGAAGAAAGATCATTGATTTTTGGATCTAGAGGTCTCAGGAAATAAATGTCCCTTACAGCCTTACAAGAAAAAAATGACTACTTCTATCCTTTATTCTTTGTTCTGTAACAGAGATCCAGTTTTTAGTGACTAACCTCTTCTCCCCTTTGAACATGTAACATAAATCTCCACCGTCTCTGAAACCCATTGCAGTTATTTGTCCCACTAATTCATGAATATTCCTCTGCCATGGTTATTTCTATAGTTATGCTCAATAAACAATGTGGTAGTGTGTAGTTTGCAAGCTAAAATAGCCATCTGTGTTGAACATCAGCTGCAAGTGGATACTGTAAACCCTACTAAATAGCTTACACAACTTTAGCAGGTGCTCCATTACCCTGGAAACCTCATTTGATTTCACATTATAACTGTTTGATCCTTCAGAGAGCTGGAGTGGAATGTTTATCATGGTAAGGTGATTTAATGCTGCTGTCTTCTTGGATTGTAGGCTGCCTTTAGTTACCATTAATTATTCTTGCATTTTATCTTTTTTTTTTTTTTTTGGGTGCTGTTGAGAGGTTTTACAACTGGCACTCAGGAGATATGTGCTATAGTGAGAACACTTGACAGATTTTTTTTTTTTTTTTTAGTACTTTTATCATTTGCATGAATAAGGCACAAAATGCACAGATTCAGGTAAACTCACACATAATATTTACAGAATATTGTCATTACCTGCATGACTTTGGAAAAAAACAAACCTTACTTTACACAACAAAAACAAATTGATTGCACTACTGTAGAGTTTTCACAGACTGCTTCTGCCAGGCCAATTAATGTTCCTCCTTTTTTATTGACAAGAGTCTATCAGTGTGTAGGGCGTTATTAAATGCAACAAAAACGTGACCTCCTCCAGTTACACAGGCGTTTGCCAAGTGAACTGACTATTAGCTGCCCTCAATGAGAAGTACAGGGGCTCAGGTTCACAGTGGCCAGGTATTGGATGGAGGCACTGTGGAAACACAGTAAAACTACCCCATTCCAGCCCGAAACATGAGATTTGAAATGCACAGCTCTGATTCAATAGCAGCATAACAGAGTTATGAAGAATTAAACATATCTGCACTCTGTGACTGGGTGACTGTTTGATCCAGGCGCTCCCCTCAGAAAGCTGTCAGAGATGCGCAGTTCATCCTTAGCTGGCTCCAAGCTGAACCCAGCGGGCTGCAGAAGGCAGAGTCATCTGTTTGTTCAGTCATGCTCAATGTAAACAATTCCATAGCATAAAAGATGCAATGGGAATCTAAGTACATCCTAGTGTGTACAGTACACACACACTCACATCCACACACACGCACAGCTTTATCTGTGGCAAAAACAAAATGCCACACACATGGAGAGAAAAAAATAATAATGCTACAGTTGGGCCAGAGACTTAATTCCAGCAAATTGATTATTAACCCAGCTATTTGTTGAGATATTACCATTTTCTGACATTTGTGCAAGAGGCAAGGTGAATGCATACATAGTAAAACGTTCACATTTAATGGGAATGACCACACTTAATGGCAGTCTAAAATGGAACCCATTTTTCAAGTATTTGCTTACCGATTTTTTCCCAACAACTGTTTTTTAGCTATTTAGAACAGTAAAACAGTAATGTAGCCCCCACCCCATTGTGCTACATGTCTCCTTAGCTCCAAACAAAAGAAATGTAATGACCAGCACTTTCCTTTGTTTTTTTTTTGTGTTTGCTCGTAGCAAGTACACRAACTCTTGCTACAGCTACGTGGCAAGACACAGATGTTGCTCAAGTAAAGACAGTTTCTTTGGCCACTTTGTTCTCCTTAACAAGCAAGTCTCTGCCTTATGTGTCTACCACATCATCATCTCACAACCTGTACAGGTCAGTGCCACACTCATCTTAGCACAAACATGTCCTAGTAGCTGTATTTGTTCAGTGGTCTGACTGATGTCGTCTGAGGGACGAATGAGGGTTTTGGTGGCACGTCGGGTTTTAGGGAGGGTGTCCTCTTTATTCCAGTACGAGGCAGGGTGCCGTTGCTTGTGTAGCTGCTTTGCCTGGACAAGGAAGGCTGGAGGTGAACGCTGACAGGCGTCCCTTGCATATAGTCCATCTTTGTGCCGGCCGTGGGAGCCATGTACCCCCCACGATTAATACTTGGCTGTCTGGATAACAAAACACCATTTGGTGAGTTTAAGTTTTTAGGAAGGGCAGATATTGAGTGCCTCTGTGAAGAATTTTTGTGATAACCCCTCTGCCTTTCCAAAGAGGTCATTGGTACTCCAGGAGTGGTGGGAACGTCCACTCGTTTTGTGGGACTGTTTCTCGGAAGAGTCGATGGAGGAGAGTATAAAGACGCCTCCCTGTTGGGAACCTTAGGTGGGATCTCAGACATATTGCCCATTGGATCCAGCATTAAAGTCTGGTGGGCCACTTGAATATCTCCCATAATTGCTTTGGGATTATTGGTAGTTTCATTTAAGTGTTTCAGGAAATCATTCAGGGTGTTCCTGGAATCAACAGATCTCCTGTGGTCTCTTTTGCTGGATGATTTTGTAAGTGGATGATCAATATGTTGCATCTTCTTGTCTGCCTTGTGCGCATTAGAATTTGAGAAAGATGTGTTGTAATCATGGGTAGCATTGGGAAGAACAATAGCACTAGGAATATGTCCATGACTTAGAGGAGAGTGGGGCGGAGGACTAGAAGGAAAAAAYTGAGGGCTTTTTAGTGGGGTTTCCTTTCGTGAAGCATTGAGGTTACCGTGCGCTTTGTCTGACTGACTTTTCATAGCCTGCAGAGTCTTTTGYTGAAGAACTGGTGTAGACTCAGGAGTTGGAAGTGCAGCTAATTCTGGAGGCTGTCCCCTGTGGTCCATCATCATGGACTTGGTATCTCCATTTGGAGGCAATTCCTTTCTGCTGGTCAGCAGGTTTGTGTACAGTTTGGGTGAATCAATGTTCTGCTGATATTCCTTGACAGGACTGTCAAACAGCCCGTTCAGTTTGGCAAAGCTCCCGCTGGAGTCAGTGCAAGACTGAGCTGATTCTGCATCTTTGTGTATTTTCCTGGATTTCCGTACAAATATATCCCGGTAACAGTAAACGGCCACTCCCGCAATAAAGGCTCCCAGGACAAAAGCGGCAAAGACACAAGTGATTAGGACATTCATATGTACCATTTGGTTGGATTCTCCTGATTGTACTTCCCACCTCACACCTGCAAAAGACAGGCAGGATATCATAAATCGACAGGAATTTCATACTGATACATTTCAGAAGGCAGCTTTCCTCAAGGAAGTGTCTACTGAGTGTTTGTAAGTGCTCTGGCTGTGGTGTTGGTAGGATCCTGCAATCCATACCACTGGTGAATGCAAGTAATTTTATAAAATTTCATTATAAAATGACTGAGTGTGCACTGACAAGGCTAAATGAAGACTGCCCATTTTCTTTGATAATGAGAAACGCTTGTCAAAGCTTCTCTCCTTATGTTTTCTTTAGCCTGTCCCCAAATTTCCTTTAAGGCTCACAAACAGGGGCCTTATGTTATTAACATTAATGATTTCTGCTGGAAAATTGAGGTTAGAAGGTCCTACTGGGCCAGACAGCAATTAATAACTCATGGATGGATTTCTCTCTCACTTTCTTGCCCAACTCATAAATCAGTATCAAAGGGGAGACAGGATTATGCAAATGTTGTATAAAAATGTATAACAAATATACTGCATTGTTATAGCAATGCTAATGTAATATGGTAGAAAACTTGWAAACTATTCCACTCCCAGGCTCCAAGCCCTGGAGTGGCACACCTGCAYTTATTATACATGTACAAGTTTGAAGACAATATGATTCTCTTAAAGCACTGATTTTTATTTTATTTTTACCAATAATGAACATAAATACTTGCATAACATTACAAAACCCACTTAGGTTAAGTTATTAGAGAATGTTAAAATTWAGAAACTCGTAGCTTAGACCAAGAAGTTGAATATTTGATTAATTTTTTATTTGGGTATTAGCAAGCTCCCTTTCGTTTTTTTAAGATTTTTTTAAAGCAACCACAGACATCTTGCAGCTAAAACAATGTTAGTTTTTAATGAAAGTAATTCTGTTGCTATCCCAACAGATGTTAAAATGAAAGAGCAAGAGGGAAGGAACAGAGCCACTTTTTGTTAGAGGCAAGGCCTTTGAATATYGTTAATGTTCAGGGTTACAGGTTTTAATGGCACTGTGCAGAAGCAGAAGGAAAAGATGAGTAAAGTTCACTAATAGCTATGACACAGAATGTGATTCAGAACCAAGAGCAAATGATCATAAAAACTTAAAACAGAAAATAACTGCAACAAATTAAAATGACAAATGCACGGCCATAATGGCTGATAGGAAACCTGATATGTTTTGGTGAATGGTAATAAAACACAAATGGTTTTCRGTGGTGAGATTTTTCAGTAAATACAGAATTGTGCAAACATGTCTGTCACCTTGCTGTGCTATGCACTGATGGAGACTTGTGTTAAGTTTTGGTTATGGSATTGGAAGCTTCTCGATTCTGTGGTTGACTGTAACAGTTCTACTGAATTACAGTCTCAGTTGTCGCAAGAGCCTAATCAAAAGTCCACTTAGCTGAAAGAATGGCTACAGAAAGATGAACTACAGGCAGAATAGTTTCTTGTGTTCAGTTTAAAATCTTGGTGTCTCTCAGTATGTACTGAGAGCCTCTCGAAACTGATGCTTATATCCAGAGGATAAMAATTCAGCACATTCTTACTCAGACCCTTGTTCTTCAAAAACATGTTTGAGGTAAGTAGAGTTTGGGATATGGCCTGTTAAACACATGGATCTGCCATGGTGCTTTGCTTTGCGCTCTGTTTTGCTACCACCCCCAACCTAAATGAAAAAAACCCCAAAATATAAGCAACCATTCATGAGGACTAATAGTCAAAGCCAAACTAGACTGGATTGAAAAACAATGAACCTAGGTGCAGAGAGGTTGTGAAGGTAATTTTTTTAATGTATCCAGAATTGCCATCAATTTCAATGGGAGATTTGGAACACTTCAGGATTAAAAGGCTGAGGTTATTATCTGTGTTTCCCATTATAAGCCCTAAGCAGCACTTTGTCCATGGGRTAAGTAGGTATGAAAAACATGATTGCACTGTCTGCATATTCACAGGAAATGGGTGTAAAATAGAGCCCAACAATCATGGCTTTTACATTTAAGCCTTAGACAATGCTGAGACTATCAGGTTTCCATTCAGCTGCAATGTATTCCCTGGTAAGGCCTTACCCTTTGGGACACCTGATAATGGATCAGAATAATCAGAAGTGTTTGGGTCATCTTGAACTACAAATTTCCGAGAGCCAGTCACTTTAGGTTTCCAGGAACCAATCACTTTAGGTGATATAACTGGGATACTTGCCATTGTGGTAATGGAAGCTGAGGAGAACTCCATGTCTGTGGTGGCAAACAGATTTTTATTAATGTGTTTCATGGCACATCTAAGCTATAGCTGGACATAGTATATTTTATGGGAGTTACATGTCAGAGCAAAATGTGACCCACCCCTAACTCCGCAGAGGTACAGTTGACTGATTAAAATCAATTACCTCAAAACTGTAAGTATGAAAAAAGTACATTTACACATCAACAGCTGCTAGCCAAATAGCCAGGGAAGTCAAACAAGAAAGCAGTGAAAAAGTTAAAGTAAGCAACTGTGGGGGTAAAAAGCACAACTTAGTCTACTTAATTGCTATATTCTTCATGGAGACAACATAATTGGCTGCATTTTAAACATCTTAAAAAAAAAAATAAAAAGGAGTTACTTGGAACCATACACACTCATGACAGGTTACGCCTGAGAAACCAGATCAGCTCCATTAGCGCTATTATGGTAAACCAGGAACTGCTGAATGAGCCATTTCTGCAGGTGGGGATAAAAGGAATGTTTTTAACCCCTAATTTGTAGTGGTTCCTAAGGAACAATCCTGCAGTGATTCTGGCTCCTCTGTAGTATGTTTGCTGAACAGACCYACCACAGCCTACGTGAAAGTGCACAGAGAGCAAACTCATCAAACTGGGTTTACAATTCACAGTCTTGTTTGCACCTTTGACTATTCTGTGTTCCTGTACCAGTAAGTTTAAGCATGAAGGTCTCTATGGCTCGAGATCAGACTTGAAAAATTTACTTCAAAACMACATGCATTCAAAACTTGAAAATAAGGTTCAATTGTAGCTGTGTCATAAAATATCACTTTGAAAATTCAGTTCATAAACAATTGTGAAGCCAGGCAGTATTTCTTTTGTRACACAGTTTTGTTTCCCTGAGTCTCTAACTTGCATTATGGGTAAATAGATGTGGAAAATATTTGTCTCAAACATTACTTCTTGTCAAKTTACAGAAGTGAAAATGTCAGAAACCAAACCACAAAATAATATYGTTGTTGCACTCTTTACAGATTTAACATACAAATAGATTATTTTCCTATTTGTCAGTCAGAAATGTGCCCTTGGTTTAAAAGGAAAGACCCAAGTTCCAAAAGTAATGACTGGAAAATAAGGGCTTAGTCTTGCTCCTGTTGAAGTCAACACAGGTTCTGCTCTTGAGTTCAACAGAGGAGCACTGGGTGTCCCTGAACACCAGGGGCTGATGGTGAACAGATTACTAGAAAAAACACTGGAGGAGAAAAGGATGCAAAAGTTCATGTGACAACAATGCACGACATTTTTTCTAAGCCACTTTTGTCTACACAATTTCTCATTCAGCTACACAGTTTGTGATGTTAAATTTTTTTCATTAGCATAAACTACTTAAAGCATTTCAAAAATAAATAAATACACATTTTAGAAAATGTGTATTTGYGCAAAAAGCTTGCTGGGAAAGAAGGAAAAGAGAAAAGGAGAGGTAAGGAGGAACATGATGAAGTTCTGCCATTCATCTACTAGAGATGACCAAGAGGGGCATTCACAAACGCATGGCTGGGGATCAAGAGTAAAGCTTAGTGGACTTCGTGCAGTGGAGATGTCATCTATGTTAATCAGGCTCTTTAATAAAAGATGTCTCAATAAATAATGAGCTGTTAACATGCGGCTACACAGGGTGAAGTGCTGAGTGAGAAGAGTCTGACTATCTTTACCATCAGAGGGAACATGAGTAAAAGCACAAAAATGGAGGATTGCCAACTGTGCAAAAGGAAGGAAAAAAGGGCTGAAAATGCTGAACTGAAGGAAAGTAAAGGTCATTAATTCAAAAAAATTAAAAAAAACTAACCAGATGTTGGGTCGCCAAATATTTTGTAATCTGGTGTAGCTGTAGTAGGCAAAATTTCTAAAAGAATTAAAGGAACAAGTAATCAGTAAAAAGTAACAAAAAGAAAGCAAAAGATCTCAAACCTGAGTAATGAAAAATAAAAACTAAAGTATCACTGGTTACAAAAAATAAATTCTTCAATACTTTGCTGTAGACCCCAAATAGCTGTAAAYTGGTGAAGGAAAGACAAAAACTCTGCCACCCAGGACTAAAAAGCTCAGCTTTGTGAACATTCACAGTAACACCAGGTGATGTGTTCATCATGTTACTGAAAAGCTCATCAGAAATTTAACATCCACAGTGAGGTGTGGCCACACACTATGTGAGACATTACAAAGGAGCAGCAGTGACTGTGCCTTACCATGGCAGTCCCCGAGATGYGCCGTGTTGCCATACTCGACATCTTGTACGTATCCTCCAGTGCTGTGGTTGTATGAAACAAACAAAGAGAACCTGCAATTAACAGTATTAGTAAGGATACAAATGGAGATTTTATTTTTTTCTGGAAGCAGCAAATGGSAACATATACAACAGGCAGTGTATGGCCCAAAAGATTGTACAAAACATACAGGATAGTCAGGCTTTAAAACTCTGTGTGTGTGCTTATGCCAAGAATTAAAAAAAAAATCCCTTTCTTTTTAGCAACTACATCATATCTTCTCCACTGGGCATGCTCTTGGGTTTAGATACAACCATCCAATTATACTAGTTAAAGTTTGCACTGGCCTGTTACAAAGGCCTCTTTTTAAGATACAGCTGCTAGTGCACTATATATTACAGACTTGATTTGTGCAAAATGCCTTTGGTATGCATATATAGCACCCCAGCTCCAGTGCAGAGGCACTATCTTGCTCTTCCCACTGTGAATCCTGTGCTTTCATATTTGCAATTGCCTGTGCCCTGCCCACGAGCATGCCTGGGAGGGGACACAGTGTACTGTCCTCTCRGAGCTGCTCAGGTTTGCATGCTGCCATTGCTCCCTTCCTGCTTCTAAAATGCTCTCGCTACAGGTCTGCCTGTCCTCCCACCCATGTAAAACTCTCACTGAAAGCAACTCTTCACCCAGAGGTTGCAGAATAAGCCAGACTTTAGCATTCTTTTCTCTCTTACATATACAGTGCAGTGAAAACAAATATTTTAGAAAACAGAAATTTATGAACTGTGTGCAAGGGAAGAGGTACAAGCCATGAGCTCGTGGGGTCTGTAAAGCACATTTAGATGCTGGTGTAATTTGAAAAGGAGTACTTACAGCATTCCTGGTGTCACTCTTCCACATGCCTCATGGTCYAACCAGCCACAGTATGGGTCCCGTGAAGCAATACACGCCCTTGCAAGAGAAAAAMCCCAAAAATCATGCATTTTTTACTTCCTTCCATGAGATGCAAGGTGCCCTTGCTTTAAGGGAGAGTTCAGGAAGGGAGGCCGTACTTTTTACATGACCCATGACGCTCACACCGACTCAGGGGAATTCTAACGACGCAGCTGGAGAACGCCACAAACAGAGCATGGTGGTCTCTGTCCAGCTGCAGGGAAATGACTCTTCTGTCCTCCTCGCTCTCTGCATTACACCTGGTCAGCAAAAACAAGGGCAGGCCACCTATTTAATGACTGTAGTACTTCGTGCAGTAAACTATTTATTGTCTGTGTAGCTACTCAACTCACATTTGTAAATGTAACCTACTACTTTTTGCTGAGAGATTGCTAAACCTCTGGGTTATCAAATGCCAGCTTCCGGCTCCTGTTAACAGCTAGGTGACAAGTTCACTGAACTATGTAGAGAAAAAAAGTCCAAATCCATTTKCTTTGTTCTCTCAGTCAGCATAAATATCGTGCAGAGCAGAAGAGGAGTCCTGTATTGTATGCCTGTAGAGTCTAATTGGAATGCTTCCACTCCCAMATTCTTTGTGCCAAAAAATAAACAAGTTTAAAATGATCAGATATAGGTTATACACTATTGGTTGCTCTTGAGCAACCCTCAAGATAAGCACAGATCATTTCTTTTTCACATCAGCAAATACTTCTGACGTTTCAAAAGTATTTGCAGGAGAATTAGACTGTGTCCCTGACGTCACTGGAGTGGAATTAGTTTGTTCATTCAACCCATACAAAATGGCAAGTGACCAAATATTTTTGGATTATTCAACATGAGGAACAAGATGAAAAGATGAACAACGATGATGTTGGTGATAATGAGCTGGTTTACCATAATCTTTTTTAGCTAGGTACCAAGGACTAGATGAAGAGCTTAGATGTTCTGGTAATACTTACTTTGCATGATTATATGCTTCAATCTCTTCCAGCAATATGCTGTCATTCAAAGAAAAAGGCCTGGTCTTTGCCAAGATTTTAAGTACTACTCCTGCTTCGGAGCCAACAAATATGACTGTATAGTTCTGGTAGGGTCCAGCAGCGTGGTCTACAGCTATTGCTGTTAATCTGTATCTAGCAAGACCAAAGGGTACATCATTAGCAGCAAGTCKTCTTGTTTTCCTTTTCACAGGTGTTACTTTTGAAGTGTCGTACCTGACACGTGTTTTGGTAAACCAGGGCTCCTCAGTGACTGAGGGAACAGCTGAGTCCATCAAAGGGTGAGATTTGATGAAGGAGAGTGTTTCGTCTGGGAAATCAATGGAGGTTTTGTAAGCCTCTGCTAGGCCGTGTTTTGCACAGCAGCCAGGTCTGAAATGAGAACAACATTGTTTCCCTCTTGATATTTTAGTTAATGAGAGAAGGCAGCCGGTTAATGAGCATCCTTATGGCTAAAGCGTCAAGCTCTGCTTTGGGTTTTACCCAACTAGGCACTCAAAAGTGCAGCTGATTTAAGGTAGCTCGTTATAAGGATGAATTTATGACACCATGAGTAAGAACCTTTTACCTTGGCTTTGGTACTTTGTCTTCAGGTACAGCTGTCCAAACAGAGTCAGGAGTCTTTTGTTCTTTAAACCTCCCTTTGAAGACTTTCTCAATGTCATCCATGCTGAAAGCACACACTGCTGAACCAGGGATGCTGTAAAATTAGAAAAATAGTTGCAAGAGCTCAAGATTACAATGGCACCAATTTCAGTGTAAGAGTGAACCAGAGAACTACCTCTGATGAAAGGCTGCTCACCTGTTGAGCTGTGTGGTGAATACACCAACAACAGTAGGCACTCCGTTGATTTGTATGATGTCTGTGATAGACTGCAGGACATCAAAGTAGAAAAATGAATCCCCAGGAACTGAGCAGTTGAGCCGAGCTTTCAGAAAGGATGTCCAGTGTTTCTCCAGGACTCTTTGGGAGCCCCCCATGTCATTTTTGCATATGCGTGCCACACGAGAATACACAGCCTATGAAGGGCAATAAAGAAAGAAAAAGGTMGAGAGGCTTGAGAGATGCAAGGGAAACAGTGCTCGTTTCTGAGCTCTTTGTAAAACTCTAAATATAATATTGTTAAAAGGAAGCTGCCATTTATCTGCACAGAGAAGATGAAAGCAAATGGTGTTCAGCTCATAGTGCACATGCATCTTAATGTATCACCAAGCAAATGCATCTCCACAGTTTGCCCCCACCCTTTTCGCCTTCTAAATCATATTGTTAGTGAGATTTAAAGACTTTAATTAACCATGTGTAAGGGATTTAATAATTTATTGTAGAATATCCTTCCATAGTCAGGCATGAGTACTATACTCTGTATTGACATGACTGAATTATTCAATATCCAGGGACGTTAGAGAAACTTCTTTCAAACTCTCCTTTTGTKTTGTTTTGTTTTGTTTGTTTAATAAGCGTGAAAACACCCTCAGCTTTTCCATTACTTGCCACAAGAGTTAAGGCAACATCAGCACTAAGRCAACAGCACATTGAAAGGCACCTGTAGTGAGCCTACAAACARTGAGGCCTGGAGAACACAAACAGCTTTTTGGTTGAAGAATGCACTGCTCTAGTCCTCCTTTTTTCCCTTTCCTGTAAATTATAATGATGGGAAAACTGTGCRAGCTTTGTCCTAGTTCCTCCTCCATACTACAAACTGTACTTGTTCCTGTGCTGTTTTAGGATAAGCACGTTCTGCTATGACTCAACAGCTCATGGTGATAATACTGACCTTGCCTAAGGTGTTGTGCTCTACAGCAATTTCTCGGAAGAARAAATAAACGTAGTTCCCATATTCTATGGCATGGAGGAAGTGTGGTTCTGTAAGAAAGAGCAAGTAGAAGTTACTTCAAAGAACTGCTCRATGGGCACATGACAGTGAGAACTCAGTGAGACTTGGTGGCTCCTCCCCAGGGCCACACCAGCCAATGKGAGCTCCAGTCTTCCAGACACTTTAGGATGTCCCAATAGAAGTGCACTGGAGTTTAAATCAACTTGAAGTCTTTAGCRTTGGCAAATGGACTGTAAAAAGGCCTCACAGAAACTGTATTTCAGCTAAGGTATTTTGTTATTGCAAATTCAGTTACTGAATCATTTAACAAAAACGTTGCCTTTTTTTTTTGCATTAAGCAGCTTTTTGATCATAATTAYACTATTCTGAAAGCCTCATACATGCTGACATTGTAGCATATGTGTAAACCATGCTGGCTGTGAATTACCTGACCTTCTGTGCCATTGAGATTACATTTGCCATGTGTATAGGAAAATACTCCCCAAATTACCTTTTATCCATTTGGAATCATACTTTATTGTTCTTAAGGCAGATCCATCCCCCATGCTGCGATAAATAACAGCATCACTTGCCAGGAAATCTGCTACTGTTGCCGAATACAATTTTCCATCTAAAACGGAAGTTGAAAACATGGTTATTAAGAGGCCTTTAATAATCTAGAGAATTCTGACTAGATTTCTCTGTATTTTTCCCCATTTCTTTACTGCCACACTTCCCCAGATTGGTGTAACCTATTTATTAACAGGTCAACTTCTAATCCTTTGGAGGTCCTTTAAAAAATTTAAGAGCAGGGGCATCATGACACCTTTAGCTTTTCCTGTGCTYGCTTTAAAAGCTCTGTCTCCTTTGGTGTCATTAATCATTTAGACTCATTACAAGTAAAAGTTCTTACCAGCAAAGAGGGCGACATTGGTTTGTCTGGCATCAAATGGGCATCTTGCCAAACCACTAATTTCCTCCCCATCATACTCTAATGTATTCAACTAGAGAAGAAAAATAAATGGGTGACAGTGTCATTTCTATTTTGTGCACTGGCACAAAAGCATAACATTGTCTTTCCACAAAACTTAATTCAGCATGCTGGCTTCTGTCTGTTTTTATTTCACCTTGAAGCACTCTCCAGTCACACTGGATGTGATTGYTATGGCAGAACCAGTGCAAGCAAAACCAGAACAGATTAATGGCAYCTTCAATACCCTTACCTGATAGTATCTGCACATAGGGTTAAATGCATTTGTTCCACAGACAAACACCATCTCATCATTTCTTGGAACAAAGACTTTAATGAAGTTATGGCATTCATCCTGCAAAGAGAGTAAGATGTATTAATCACGAACTCCATGTATATAATAAATACTAGTGCTGTTTTTCTATAATGTGCTAAACTTACTTTATGTTTGCCTTTCATAGCACAGTTCTCTCTGTCCTGCTGCTTTGATCTCCATGTTAATTTCTGTTAAAGCAGACCAGAAAGGAACATTTGAATTCCTTGCCACATGAATGCTTAAAAAACCCATCAAAACCAAAGAAAATACCTCTCCCTTTCCAGCATGCATCTACTCACCTTGCTTGGGATAACTTCTGATTTTGGAACTTCATTTAAGTTTACAGTGTAAACCTGGTCCCTGTTTGTAGAGCAAAAAGATAGCAGTAAATTCATTAATTCTGTTGTCTCTTTATTTGATAAGCTAATTCTGCTTTCAGAATGCTGTGTTGGACCAATGCTTATGGATTTTCTGTGTTTAATGCAGATGGGAGAAGGTTGTTCATGGGCAACATAGGGTGGTTTGGATTTTTATTGTTGTGGTCCTGAGACAGCATCTGCAGCGTCCAGCTGTCCATCCCTGTCTGCCCATTCTGCTGAGGASTAACCTGGGCTGTAAATATGCAAGTGTGTTATYCTCAGTTCCTAYAACCCTGATGTGTCAGTCCAAGTTTAAATGATCAGGAGAGGTTTTTATTAGGTAGAGCAGTCATATAAAAGAGGGAAAAGAGCATTTGATCATTGGTTTTAGCTTAACTACAGTAACTGCAGCCTTCAAATCCAATTTTCATGCACTAGCCATAGATATGGTATATTTCTCTGGGAACTCCTGCCCCAATTYTAATTTTTATCATATTCTGCACATTTTTCTAAATGAATTTTACACATAAATCCAAAACCAGAAGAGAAAAGAATTTTAATCTAATGAACTGAGTGAAGGAAAATTACCTGCCAGTGATATAAAGTGTGTCTCGAATTTTCAGCATTAGTTGGAAGTCCAGTCTGTGCTGAGATTCATTGCCTGAAGGGCGTCCTCTAAATACTGGATATTGCCTTGAATCTGCAAGTAAAAATGGGCTACACCATCACTCAGGATTATAGAGCTAAAGAATCAATATATGGCATTGATTAGCTGTATATACTAGGTGTAGAAGGGTTTAAACTAAATTCCTTGAGTAATGTGTTGAATATAAATGAGGAAAAGATGGCTAATGTCAGCAAATGTTCTTTTTCCTGAAGTTATTGCTGTATTTCTGATTGCTTTTTTAAGAAAATGATTAAGTGTTCTATTAAAGATACAATGCCAGTAAACACATTTCAATTTGAAAGGAATCAGATTTTTTTTTTTTMWWTYYCMSRGSKSKGGGKGKGSAGGAAGGAAAMCCCCCCCAYRTTAGAACTTTTYCCCTAGTGTTTAGCAGCACTTGCACGGAACTCACAATGGTAATCCACAACGTTRATGGGGTCCTCGTCCTCGGGGAAGCTGACAGCGCGGCAGCGGGACAGGCTCAGCAGTGTCACCAAGGCACAGAGCACGGGAAACCGCATGGCTGGGGACAGCGGAGCGCTGCGGGGGCAGCAACACTGCTCAGCTACCTGCGAATGGACACAACACAGAGATTGCAGCAGCAGGACACACTCAACATGACCTCCTGCTGCAGAAGAAAAGGGGKTTCTTCTTTATTTGAGCATTGGCARCAGTGGACATTGATGAGAAACTGCTGCGTGACACAGCCCTGCTCAAAGCTGCTCTGAAATTACTGATGTTTGCTAATTTTTAGCTGGATTTACGGGCATTTCTGAAGAAGCTGACGACTGTCAGCCCATTTAATTCACAGAATCAGAAACAGAACATGCCAGGCTGTTGACCTGGTAAGAAAAACCTGTCAAACTTGGGATTAGAATTTTAATTAAACTGCAATCTCTTTCCATCCCCTCAATCACTGAATGTCATCCAACACAAACCCTTTTCCCGTAAAGTACCTAAATCTCATCCACAAAACATCAAGACATACACAATGTGTCTGAACATCCATGCTGTGTTTTAATGTCGYTTCTTGTTTCCAGGCTGTGCCATCACAGGGCTAAATCCAACACACCCATAGTCACAGACCTGATGCTTGCTTTGAGCAGTGACTTCCACATGTGCAAAGCAAATGCAGAATGCTGCTCCTGCCGTGTGACAGTGCTGTCACACACTGTGCAAGGCTGGCAAGAGACCCAAACAGGGAGGCAATGTCTAACCTCCTTCCCAAGATGCCACTTTCCCCCTCATTCCATTTGTTACTGTCGGAGGCTTCAGAGGTGTTCACTGGGGTTTTGTGTGTGTGCTCTGCAGATTAGACAGCACTGATCACGACAGCACCACAACATTACACAACAAAGCTTTTAAGAGAGAAAGGGAAACATAACTTCTTCAATTAAACCACAGGGATATTTTAGTGAGAAGAATGTAACTACTCAAGTTGCAATTTGGGTAGGATGCAAGAAAACACATCTCAAAGTGAAATGTGATCCTTAATGACTGCAAGTGGACTGGGCAAGGGTCATATTTCTCATTAGAAACCTGGCAAATGTGGTATTATTCCCTCCTCCAACCTTTTGGAGGCATTCATTCAGCCCTGATTCACAGGTCAGAGCTCTGAGTCATCAGCTCAGTGCCGTGCAGTTGCTGAAATTGGTTATTAAATGCTTTGTCTAAACAGAAAAAAGAGAAACCTTTCCATTTCAACATTTCAAGACTTTCAGTGAGAGGAACATGTTGCCAACACAAAGTGCCAGACCTGATCCAGCAAAGCACAAAAGTATTAATCATTTAATAATTTGAAAAGCAATTAAAAAACCCCTTCATAACAACACTTAACCTTTCAGTAATGCTTATGGGGGACGAAAGTGCTGTATTTGTTAATTGATGCTATGGCTGGCTAGGGGCAGGGCTTCCTCCTTCCAGAGGCTGCTGAGCTGTCACTTCAGGCTGGAGTGTGAGGAGACCAGCTGAAAGGCTGGGAACATTTGGGGATGGGGGCGGGGGTGTTGTCTGGATGCCTRCCCATTACAGACTGACCTGGAAAGAGGCATTTTCCACCGTTAATAATATTTCTGTATCTCAGTCCACCAGTCCAGAACGAATGGGCTGTGCTCTTAGTCAAGATTGATGAGTGCAGTGGTTAATAAACACTAATGATTCCTGGCACTTTCCCTCTGCTCTTCCTTGTCCTGACATGGCCTCTTCAGCTGAAGCATCTTGCGTTAAATTACTAATGAGCAAACTTAAAACAAACTGGAATTAATAAAGTTAGTCAAATTAGTTCTTTCTTGTGAAAGCACCATTAGAGCAAAGTCCTGCAGCACTGTGGCTCCCAGACACAATAACAAATCATTAATGCTTACACAATTTTTTTTTTTTTTTTAGTCTTTTTGTGAGAAAAGCAGGCTTCAAATGTCCAACCTACTCCCTTTCCAGTGACAGAGAAAGGGGAGACACATAAACTGCACGTTGAGTCGGTGCACAGTAACATCTATAAGGTGCTTAGTAAAAGTCCTCCCTGAAGCCTTGTTTTCTTGGAGAACAAATGAATACAAATTGCCAAAGAACAAGAAGCTCTCCCAGACATGAAGGCTGCAGTTAGAATAGAAGATGAGGCTGCTTGTGGCCCACATTATGACTCAAAGAGACCCTGCACACAACTTGCAAACTGTACAAGTTCCACCTGAACAAAGCACAGACATGTAAAAGGAGGTTTCTTTTTCAGAATTCTCTTTCTTTCCAATGTTCATCTGGGAAGAATTGACTGGRGTGACAATCACAAAACTTCTGTGTAACCTGTCTTACACACGCAGATACTGATTTCTGAACTCCAGGAAATGGCTGCAGAAAAAAGGCCAATTTGTTTTTGTTTTCAGGTCACAATTGTCAAAGGGCAATTCATTTTTAGGTCATGATTATCATGGCCAATACACAGCAAACTGTCACGAAAGCTGAAATGTCAGGTAAACAAAGACAGCATCAATTATGTCAAACAGATTCAAATTTCAGGCAGGATATCAAACTCCCTAGAAGAATGTGAAATTTTGTAAATGTAAATCCACAGGATATGCTTCCCTAGAGGCTGCATACAGGGCAGAAACAAACTCACATTCATGTCTTCCCCAGAAAACCCTCAAACATCTGAGGATACTCCAGAGATGAACTCTGGGAACATACAGGGCAGGAATTGTTATGTTCAGCAATCTTTTCAAGCTAAACATCATCTGTCACAAATCTCTATCAAAGAAATAACCCTGCATGAAGCACAGACCTTTGTCACAACAAGACAGAAAAGCACACAGAGAGCTGCACTGGATCAGCAAACCACAGGTAATCACTTCTCAGCAGCCAGGCAAGAAACGCAGATTTCTTTATTATTTGTCTTGTAAAATTATTACAAGAATAGTAACAGTAGCTCTGATTTCCAGCTACATATGAAAAAGAAAATGTACCTGCTTCAAGAGGCTCTAAAATGCAGSTTTTATCTGGTTGGACACAGGCTTGAGATCAGAACCACTGAAGAGAGAATAAACTGGGAAGAACAGCTGTTTCCTGGATAATCAGAAAAATGGGYTCCATCTAGCCCTTGGAGCAGGGGTTTATGACAGCCAGGTGTAGCCTTCTGGTAGACACAGATAGGCTGGTGTGAAAGACGTAATTCCTGCCACATTCAAACCTTTTAGTGGAGGCCACTACTGGGGACTGCAAATAACAATGCTGAAATATCTGTTAGGACTGGAATAGCTGATTACGAAATGCTGGCAGTGTCTACCTTCAAGAAAATGCAGAAAACATTCATACTCTGGGTTTGATTATTTTCTTCCGCCAGGATTCAGCCCAGTCTTTGATTAATTTCTCTTATAAATTGCATTCCTAGCATTTCTGCTAGAAAACAATGCATGGTAAGTGCAATGTTYGGAAATTACCATATTGCTATCCTTCTTTTACAGATAGGGAATTGAGGCACAGATCAAGGCTGAATGTATGACCAAGGCCAAGCACCCAAAARAGCCTTTTCAAAGGCTGTGAGCTGCTTGGGGTCAGATGTGCTCCTTCCTTGCAGCACGGGCACAGACTGGTGTCCCTCAGTGGAAAGCTGAGGATCAGATCAGATCAGAGCTCCTCTGCCACTCGGCCTATGCCATAATGAGTTGTGTCTGCAAGGAGAAAGAGCTAGAGCTGTAAATGTTAACTGGTGGCAAAAATGCACCTTGTTAGGGAGGAGAGTGAGCTGCCTGGAGCAGGCCCCAAGGGAGATGCTGTTGGTCAGATGGGAGGCAGGCAGTTGTCCCAAGTAATAAACTGGCTCTGTGGCTGCCACCTTTCAATCTCAGCTAGAAAWCCCATCCTTCAATTCCTGATTGGGGGAATCCAGAGAAGCAGGATATAATTTCTGTTAAAATATGAGCCTACCTTCAAACAATCACACATGAAGGGGAACAGGCTGGTGTTTCTTGCCCATTAATCTACTCCAGCCTTTGACAACGTACTGGTGACGCTCCATCAATCATCTTTCCGTGCACTGCCACGTAAAAGAGAAGGGGGAAGGGAAAGGGCATTCAGCCAGCTGGGGAGAAGCAACATATAAAATGGCTTCAAACCAGACTGTTGCAATATCTTCTACTTACTGGGAAAAAAAAATCTTAAAAATCTCCTAACACAATAAATGCTTCTCAAAATGCTAATCACAGACCCAAGTGCAGTACAGCAAATCCAGGCTCAAGTTCAAGACAGGTCAGAACAAAAGATACATCYTAAAAGTTAGCTCACTTGTGGGGAGTTTGGCAAGGAATGGAGGAAAGGGTTGGAATAATAAAAGCTGAGCAAATGACTACATCACCTTCCTCCTCCAGCAGACTCAGGCTGTYAGGTGAGACCAAGGATCCCCTCTGTGCTCGGAAGTACAAATCAGACATAATGTTGAGGGGGGACAGGCAGAATTGATTAGCAATATGCTGAGCTTAGTCAATTTATGTTGATGTGGTTTCCCCCAATCCCAACTGCCTGGACTTGGACAGATCAGGAAATCCCTGCTGTCCTGTTCCTTCCTGCATGYAAATGGCTCCCTGAGAGCACTAATTAGTGCAAAGGAACTGACTAGTGTCTTCCTCAGATGAAAGATTTCTTTCTGAAATTTTGAGCATGAAACCATTCTAACAATAAGGTAAAGGTTAAAACAAAACAAAACAAGAAATCTTTKATTGCTGCCTGTTCACAGATGCTCAACAGGTTTCTCAGGGCCTAGAGCTGAGACTTCAGCTCCTGACACAGGGCAAAGCTGATCCTGTGCAAGTTCCACTGATCTCCTGAGACAAGCCCTGCTGAGGGTCACAGGGCACCCCTGGACAGTGGCTTCAGGGCCCTGTGCCCCATGCCAAAGCAGTGCCTTGGAGCTCTTTAATCAGAGGAACACTCAAGCAACAAAGATCTGTTGTCAGACTAGAACAAGTCATGGATTCCACCTGCAACCAAATAAAGGCTGAATTGGAACTTACTTGTGTTTAACATCTCTCCCCTTCCTTTTTGGATGCAAAGTGTAGTGTAGAAAGGTTAAAAATCTTGTTTACTG